ACTATATATATACTATATATATATATATATATATATATATATATATATATATATATATATATATATATATATATATATATATATATATATATATATATATATATATATATATATATATATATATATATATATATAGATAAGCACAAAACCACGAGATCAGTGAGATTTGAGTAGAGGAGGCCCACCTACATGGGGCAATATATGCCTGCATGTCCTGATGAGCCCTAAAGACTGTCTTTTTTGTTTACACTGTCTGTCTAATGCCAGACGATTTTAAGGGGAGACTGCTCACTGCTGCCACTCAGTGGGTTAAATTATATACTATCTGCCAATGAGCAGCCCCTGAGATAGAGTCAGCAGCAATGTGCCAAAATGAACCCTACATTCTTAGTGTATTTTAGTCAAAGGGAGAGTCTTGGGGTAGAAAATAGATACACCCTTTGCCATTGTCTGTTCAGAACTACATACACAGTATGATGTGATAGTTACATGGCAAGAAAAAAAATGTTGCCCACAAGCTGTTGGGAATAAGTGAGTCACTATCGATGCACTAACCAGGTAAATTCAGAATGCTACAAGTACATTTCTATATAACATTGGAAGAGGTGATGTCTGATTGGTCTGTGAGAAACTATCATACTGATGAAATTTGCTAATAATTATAATAGAATTGCATTCCTGAATATGAAAACATGACACTTAATTTTGAAGCTTGGGATCATTATGGTTTTGGTAAAAACAGATCATACATTGCACCATTCATAGTGGCAGCACTCTCTCCTTGACTAGTAAAATTTTCTGACATTAGATAGATTAAAATAATACAGCAAGACATATCAATACACATTGCCACTTGAAGGGTTAATATATGTGTATTTATTATATAGTAGAGAGTCATGAGATACTGAGTGAGATATTTTCCCTATCTTCACTATAGTGCATGAAGATATCGATCACATGACTTTTTCCAATTTGCTTTTGAGCGTGAAATTTCACAATTTTTTGCTTGGGACTATATAATAAACAGAACATTACATGGTGGCTTGATGTGCTCGTTCGTAAAATATTGTTTTCACCACTGGAAGATAAAAGTCATATCTTCGCACTGCTGTGTAATATGGTGTATAAAGATGTAATAACTATATAAATGTATCATGATAATAATGTCATTTTTTTATTTTGCAGAAATTATCTGTTTAATGCAACACAAGAGATGGCACAGGCATCAACATGGAAGACAACATGCAGAACATCAAAATGAAGTTATAATTATAATACCATAACAACATAATAAATAATTATATGATTAAAATAATTAACTTTATTGAAGTGTAAATTTTTATAACAGAGCACAATCGTGCTCCACTAAATTAGGAAGAATTAAAATTATACATTTTTTAATTGTTTACTGCTAGTTAATTAAGAGGCTACAAAAAAGTCAAATACTGTACATCCTTCCAGAAAGTATGCCACTTTGACTATGGAGCCTCGTTTTTGTGTATTTGACATGTAAATGAAAATGAGACTACAGCCTATAACCAAGATGATATACTTTCTGGAAGCATGTATTAATTAAAATATAGTTGTTCAAAATTAATCAAGCTTTAATTGTATGTTCAGTTCAGGCACAGATTTTCTGGGGGGGGGGTGGTGCCCCCCAGAGGCATTTGGCAACGCCCCTAAAAGTTTTTGCACCCCGCAAATTATATATATTTTGATTTGATAGTTTCATATTTGATTATTCTTACTACTAAATTTGTAAAATTACCAATATTATGGTCTCAGATCTCGCCATGCAGGCCTAGAAAACAAATTTTGTTAAACTTTTTCCTTGGCCTTTCCGGGAGTTGCCACCAGGCCCCGGCCAAAGCAAGCAGCAGCACCCCCCAGATATTTATCCCCCCCCCTTCCGAACGAAAATATGAAAATCCGTCTCTGGTTTAGTTTCCAAAGATGTGGCTTGATACTGTGTTTTGCCACCCAGAAAGGAGAGTGTGTCATCGTGGAATAAATCTGCAATAAACAAGAATAGATTAATTATACAGGTTGTACAATTATCCACGTAACATAACTTAGCATATGACCAAGATAAATGAAAGAATGTGGCCTATTACTCCTCGATCAGCTTAAATCAGAACTATATGAGTGCACTTATAAACTCAAGGTACATTGTTTATTCAGAGTGATATTTACTAAGAAAACCTGTAAGAAAACAGTGCATCCTGGAAATGAGGTGTGATCACACATGAATGCCTTGGCACACACCTCGGCTAAACCTTGGCTTAGGGAACAGTGTGATTTATCTCAAGCCTCTATAATGACACAAGTAGTATAATAGGGGCCGATCGATCCGGATTTTTGAGGTGGTGGATGAGGTGGTGTGAGGTGGTGGAGTGTGAGGTGGTGGAGTTTTGAGGTGGTGGGTGTCCACCACCTCATTTATAATTAATACTCGTCCAATTGAGGAGGAGTAATGACGTCACTCATTAAATAGGTCATAATTATATGCAATGACGTCACGCGGGCAGGTTTAAACAAGATCGGGCAAAACTTGCTGACTACGCATTTTTTAGCGTCCCCCACGTTTATGATACAATGGAGGGATTAGGATTGGCTTACTATGATTGGTTGTTTGATTTAACGAGCGTGATTCCTTTAATTTAGCTCCTAGAGGAGTAAAAAATCTGATATTATATCAAATAGCATTAGTGTTATATATCTAAAACTTATATATTCGGGGTATACAGCTATATGTTTTGTTGTTAAGTAATATTATGATACAGCTCTGGCATTTTGCTGTTATTGTCAAGTGATTCCTTTAATTTAGCTCCTAGAGGAGTAAAAATCTGATATTATATCAAATAGCATTAGTGTTATATATCTAAAACTTATATATTCGGGGTATACAGCTATATGTTTTGTTGTTAAGTAATATTATGATACAGCTCTGGCATTTTGCTGTTATTGTCAAGTGATTCCTTTAATTTAGCTCCTAGAGGAGTAAAAAATCTGATATCATATCAAATAGCATTAGTGTTATATATCTAAAACTTATATATTCGGGGTATACAGCTATATGTTTTGTTGTTAAGTAATATATAAATATTAACAAGCGTCAAAACGCTGAGAAATAGCATGCGGTAAGAGTTATGTATCTACAATTAAGCTAATATTTAAATCCCGATCTGCCATAGGAGAGAATATGTTGCTGTCGGAGTTATATAAACACATGGAAATTAGAGATTATGATATATAATTTTCAAGCGATTTCTATATTTTATTGCTAGTTTTTTAAAGTACTAAAACTCGGATAAGGTTAATAAATTTAAGCTATATTAAAGCACACCGGTTTCTATGTGTTGTTAGGGTGACACTAATTAAAGGATTAACTTTTATCAGAGATTTGCATTTTTCTACTGTGTGGATAAATACGGGTAGATTAGGATATTCATTGCGCGGGCGTCGCGGGTTATCCGTGCGGGAAGAGAGAAAGCGATTTAGACAAGGCAGGAGCGCTTTGCAGCCAAAACTTGAAGGACTTTGTGTGGAATCCTGTAATGGTTGTCAAGTCGGTCATCCTAGTCAAAGACAACATGACTGCCTCATGATGAACGAAAACGAACGAGGGCAAATAAGGAATCTATTCGTCACAAAAATCATATTTTAAATATATTTTAGACATATTTTAAACTAAACAGTTTCTAATCCCTGTTAAGATGACCGAGTCAGATCATAAGTAAGCTTATCAAGAACATAAGTTAGAATTGGAACAGTTGTAATATATTTTGCAATAAAAACATGTAATCGTTATATACTTTGTTATTTGTTGCTAAGTCATTAGCGACGCTTGCGTGCATGCATATATTAACGTACAACATATTTGTACACTAATCAGGCGGGCGGATCGCGCGGGTGGAAAAACGGGCTTTGCAGGCAAAAATTTACACAAGATTTCAGTTTTACAATTATTTCTTCAAAATGTTTTAACAAAATTTAGTACGGTCTACTTTTAAGAGCGTAACGTCTAGGTGATTCTTGCATATCTTCTGGGGATAACCTAAGATATCGAATGATATCCTAAGATATCGAATGATATCCTAAGATATCGAATGATATCCTAAGATACTGTATGATATCCTAAGATATCGAATGATATCCTAAGATACTGTATGATATCCTAAGATATCGAATGATATCCTAAGATACTGTATAATATCCTAAGATATTTATAATATCCTAAGATATTGATATCCCAGCTAAGATATTGATATCCTAAGATACTGATATCCTAAGATACTGATATCCTAAGATACTGATATCCTAAGAAAATGATATCCTAAGGAAATGATATCCTAAGATACTGATCAGCTCCTTAGGCTCGGAGCCAGCTCCTTGGGCTCGGAGCCACCTCCTTAGGCTCAGAGCCAGCTCCTTAGGCTCAGAGCCAGCTCCTTAGGCTCAGAGCCAGCTCCTTAGGCTCGGAGCCAGCTCCTTAGGCTCGGAGCCAGCTCCTTAGGCTCGGAGCCAGCTCCTTAGGCTCGGAGCCAGCTCCTTAGGCTCGGAGCCAGCTCCTTAGGCTCGGAGCCAGCTCCTTAGGCTCGGAGCCAGCTCCTTAGGTTCGGAGCCGAGCTCCTTAGGCTCGGAGCGGAGCACCGTTCTTGGGGACCTGTTTGGCTTTATTGTTTATTCACCAGGTGGCGAAGAGATAAACACGGCAGTCGCCAATAGGCGTTCATAAAGTGGACTATATTCTTATCAAACATTCGTTCTCCAACAATTCCAATTTGTTTCCTATCACTAGGACCTTGGTGGCTCCTATCTCCTATACTCCTAGCCCTACATCGACCCTAAATCGACCTCACATCGACCCTACATCGACCCTACATCGACCTCACATCGACCCCACATCGACCCCACATCGACCTCACATCGACCCTACATCGACCCTACATCGACCTCACATCGACCCTACATCGACCTCACATCGACCCTACATCGACCCCACATCGACCCCACATCGACCCTACATCGACCCTACATCGACCCTACATCGACCCTACATCGACCCTACATCGACCCTACATCACAGCCTAAGGAGCTCGGCTCCGAGCCTAAGGAGCTGGCTCCGAGCCTAAGGAGCTGGCTCCGAGCCTAAGGAGCTGGCTCCGAGCCTAAGGAGGTGGCTCCGAACCTAAGGAGGTGGCTCCGAGCCTAAGGAGCTGGCTCCGAGCCTAAGGAGCTGGCTCCGAGCCTAAGGAGCTGGCTCCGAGCCTAAGGAGCTGGCTCCGAGCCTAAGGAGCTGGCTCCGAGCCTAAGGAGGTGGCTCCGAGCCCAAGGAGCTGGCTCCGAGCCTAAGGAGCTGATCAGTATCTTAGGATATCATTTCCTTAGGATATCATTTTCTTAGGATATCAGTATCTTAGGATATCAGTATCTTAGGATATCAGTATCTTAGGATATCAATATCTTAGCTGGGATATCAATATCTTAGGATATCATAAATATCTTAGGATATTATACAGTATCTTAGGATATCATTCGATATCTTAGGATATCATACAGTATCTTAGGATATCATTCGATATCTTAGGATATCATACAGTATCTTAGGATATCATTCGATATCTTAGGATATCATTCGATATCTTAGGATATCATTCGATATCTTAGGTTATCCCCAGAAGATATGCAAGAATCACCTAGACGTTACGCTCTTAAAAGTAGACCGTACTAAATTTTGTTAAAACATTTTGAAGAAATAATTGTAAAACTGAAATCTTGTGTAAATTTTTGCCTGCAAAGCCCGCTTTTCCACCCGCGCGATCCGCCCGCCTGATTAGTGTACAAATATGTTGTACGTTAATATATACATGCACGCAAGCGTCGCTAATGACTTAGCAACAAATAACAACGTATATAACGATTACATGTTTTTATTGCAAAATATATTACAACTGTTCCAATTCTAACTTATCATGTTCTTGATAAGCTTACTTATAATCTGACTCGGTCATCTTAACAGCATATAGGTATGTAGAATATTTGCTAAAATAACGTTGAACAACATGTAAATATTGACCTTAACAACGACGTTGACAACTCGGGATTAGAAACTGTTTAGTTTAAAATATGTCTAAAATATATTTAAAATATGATTTTTGTGACGAATAGATTCCTTATTTGCCCTCGTTCGTTTTCGTTCATCATGCGGCAGTCATGTTGTCTTTGACTAGGATGACCGACTTGACAACCATTACAAGATTCCACACAAAGTCTTTCAACTTTTGGCTGCAAAGTGCTCCTGTCTTGTCTAAATCGCTTTCTCTCTTCCCGCACGGACAACCCGCGACGCCCGTGCAATGAATATCCTAATCTACCCGTATTTATCCACACAGTAGAAAAATGCAAATCTCTGATAAAAGTTAATCCTTTAATTAGTGTCACCCTAACAACACATAGAAACCGGTGTGCTTTAATATAGCTTAAATTTATTAACCTTATCCGAGTTTTAGTACTTTAAAAAACTAGCAATAAAATATAGAAATCGCTTGAAAATTATATATCATAATCTCTAATTCCCATGTGTTTATATAACTCCGACAGCAACATATTCCCTCCTATGGCAGATCGGGATTTAAATACCAGCTTAATTGTAGATACATAACTCTTACCGCATGCTATTTCTCAGCGTTTTAACGCTTGTTAATATTTATATATTACTTAACAACAAAACATATAGCTGTATACCCCGAATATATAAGTTTTAGATATATAACACTAATGCTATTTGATATAATATCAGATTTTTTACTCCTCTAGGAGCTAAATTAAAGGAATCACGCTAGTTAAATCAAACAACCAATCATAGTAAGCCAATACTAATCCCTCCATTGTATCATAAACGTGGGGGACGCTAAAAAATGCGTAGTCAGCAAGTTTCGCCCGATCGTGTTTAAGCTTGCCCGCGTGACGTCATTGCATATAATTATGATGTATGTTAATGAGTGACGTCACTACGCACCCTCATTTGTACGAGTATTAATTAGCGCACCCTCAACATCCTTACGTACCCTCATTTGTATGAATATTAATTAGCGCACCCTTACGCACCCTCATTTGTATGAATATTAATTTACGCACCCTCATTTGTGCGGCCCCCCTTAATTACCTGCATATATAATGTGCGGCCCCCTTGCATAGTAATTACCTGCATATATAATGATGCGGCCCCCTTGCGGCCCCCTGCGGCCCCCTGAAAATCCGGGTCGAACGGTACCTATATTACTACTCCTTATGGAGGACAAATTGAAAACCCTTAAACAGAAATGTAAACAGTTGGAAGGAAAAAACTCAAAACTTCATGGAAAAATAGCAGCTCTAACCCAGAATTTAGAAGCAATTTCTAACAAAGAAATTAATGAAGAGATCAATGCTATGTCAACAGACATCCCTACATCTAACCAGTACATGACCTTACCTGATGAATCCACTCATGAAAATCCTATTCCCATTGAGCCACCCTCCAATCAGGACTCAGACATTCAACCAAATGAAGAAAAACCTGCCGAAGATTTATCCACCCAGATAAAACCTCTTGCTATTGAAAATCCTAATTTACCTAGTCCATCCAACACACCAGAAAATCATGCAGAGACCATTATATTATGTGATAGTAATGGCCGCTATTTAATTCCTTCCCTACTTTGTCCCACAAGCAAAACCAGCTACCTAAGATGCCCTACCTTAATGAAAGCAAAAGAAATCCTGGATAAAACCTGCTTTAGCAATCCAAGAACATTTATTATTCACACAGGAACCAATGATTTGGATGTGGAACTCATTCGCACCAAATATCCAGAATGTCGGGTAATTCTATCTTCCCTTCTCCCCAGAAGTGACGATTTAAATAACAACGCAATAGATTTGAATGAAACCCTTAGTAAAGCACTCTTGGCAAGAAAGAATTAACACAACCTTTGTCAAACATCAAAACATAAGGGCGAAGGACCATCTACATGACAAAAAGCATCTATACAAAGTTGGGGTCAAACGATTTGCACAGAATTTAAAACGAGCATATTTCAATCATGAAACCCATCTCAACACAACTAACCGCAGAAGTACATGACCATATCCCAAATCTCACTAGCCTGCGAACAGGCTCTTTGAATTAAATTAGAGCCTGCCGGTTTAGTCAATAAAAATGCGTCTGTGACCATCACTATTTATAGTGTTGTCAATCAAATGTAAAATGCAATGTGACAAATTAGTACAGAAACGCCTTATGTAATAGCCTGTGAATATAAACAAAACGCATATCTTGATTTCAACGCACTTACAACAACATTAAAAGCACTTATCTTTCTTTCGAACAACCCTGAAATTTCCTGAAGTAGCAATAGTAATTGTGAATTCACATAAACACCGCAACGACTTGAGTTTGAACAACTACGGCGTACTAGAATGCTCAAGAATGCAAATTTGTCTTAGAGTAAAGATGCTATTGTTGATATAAGAACGTTGCCGTTGTATTTGCCAAACTGTCTTATACAGTACAGCTAAAACATAGTTTCCGTCAAGAATATTATTAATAACTTTTGACTGTCCATATCCTTTACTGACTTTAAACAAAGATTTAGTTTTTTATACACCTCGTCGCTATAGAACGATATTTTTCGATTTCAATCTATCGTTGTGTAAATTTAATTACTTTTTATGGCAGTATAATGTAGTTAATTCAATTTCAACCAATATATGGGAACCCTGCGTCGTTCTAAGCAACGCACAGACGCGTTTTTATTAGCTAGGCCTGCAGGCTCTCTCTCAAATTTCAAAGAGAGTTCAAAGAGAGCCTGTTCGCAGGCTAAATCTCACTCACCTTCTAATTACCCAAAGTTTCCCCACTGGCCACGGCACCCTTCACATCTCATATCCGTCCTAATCCAACTATGCTTACATATATACCTCATCACCACCGGCCTTTATTACAACCACCTACAACACAGTTTCCTGAACCAAGACATCCTGTAAACCACCAGCAACAAAAAGAGAAATTTAATAATCAAGAAACAAGAATGGCTGCAATTAAGCAAATACAAGAAATACCAAGACAACTAATTGAACTTATCAAGGATCGTAATACGTTTATTATTTATATCTATCCTGAAGAAACTATTATTATAAATCTATCTTTAAAGCCCAATTCGGATTCAATCAACTAAGGGACCGGTCATTATTTATGGAAGGAGGGAGGGAAAAAATAAGGGGGGGGGGGCACATGTATAAATAAATGACTAGAAGGGTGGCTATTAATTTTTTAACAATTTTTCCCTGGCCCCCGCCAACCTCTGGGCGGCCCTGCTTTTTTATTATCCTCACACTAATTCAGCCTACCCTGCATGTCCACCAATTTCGGATTCAGCACATGGAATATCCATGGCATATCAAGTTATGTCCTTGGTGATAAAAGCAAAAACAAGGACTTTCTTGACGATATTAATAATATAGATTTTATTTTTCTAACTGAAACTTGGTGTAAAACAAACATTGATATTCCTGGTTTCAGGGCTTTTGTCTCTGATACTGCAATGCCTTATACCAACCAGGTATGTCGCAAGTCTGGCGGTACCACTTTACTAACCAAAATAATATTTGAAAAATTTGTTTCAATAGTTAAAAATTCAAAACATTTTCTATGGTATAAAATCTCAAAAGATCTGTTGAATGCTGAAAAAGATTTATTCTTATGTGGTGTATACATTCCACCAGAAAAATCTGTTTATTTCGAAAATGAAATATTTGATGAACTGAAAAATGACATAGTGTCATTTGAATCAAGGGGTAATGTAATGATCCTTGGTGATTTTAATGCAAGAACCTGTAAACTTGAAGATTTTATTTCTAATGATGGAAATAATTTTATAAATGTTACCAGTGAAAACTGTCTACAAGCCGAAACATAGGCAAAACTTCGATAATCATATTAATAACCATTGTAAACAACTTATCAATGTCTGTAAAAATACTGACATGAGAATTTAAATGGGTGAACAAAAGGTGACTCCCTAGGAAGACCCACATTTCATGGAACTAATGGCATAAGTGTAATAGCCTACATCATATGCGATCAAGAATTATTTCAAAATACTAAATATTTTGTTGTTAAACCCCCAACATACCTATCTGACCATAGTCAAATAACTACATGGATTGACATTGGCTTACATACAAATTACTTATCCAATACTAACCAATGTCAGTTGCCGATGTCTGAATTACCCCTGCAATTTGTATGGTGTGAAAACTCGAAAAGCATTTTCAGACAAACATTAAAATCTGCTGAAATACAACAAAAACTTTATGAATTTACAAAGTCAGATTTTACTAATGATTTAAATGGAGTAAATAAATGTGTATCTGAATTGCAAAACATCCTACTTGATACATCAAAAAAGTCTTTGAAAATCAAGAAGAATAAATTAAGGAAAAGAGAAAATGTAGCTCAAAAGAAATGGTTTGATAAAGATGCCGAATCAAACGACACCATCTCCGAAAACTCTCTCATCAAAAACATAAAGATCCAACCAACATTGAGTTAAGAAATAACTACCATGATGCATTAAAATCATACAAAGAAACTCTACAGGTGAAACGCAACCAATTCCATCAAATTAAGATTGATGAGTTAGAAAAAGTTAGTGAAAACGACATAAATATTTTCTGGAAGTTACTTAACAATTCGACAGACGATCTTGAGAGCGATAAAAACTCCAAAAATTCGCCTAAAGATAGCGAATGGTTTTCACATTTTGAACAACTACATTGCAAACACCAAATATCTAATAAAGAACATGAAGGAATCATTGAAAATTTGAAACATATTGTAAACTCCAAAAATCTACTCAATGAACTTGATACAGAAATTACAAACGAAGAAATATTAAATGCGGCAAAGAAAATAAAAACAAAAAAGCTGCATACTCAGATAGAATTAATAATGAAATGATCAAATGTAGTGTTGACATTCTCTCAAACGGCTTTACGAAAGTATTTAACACCATAAAAAAATCTGGAAACTTTCCTAGAGCATGGTGTGAAGGACTAATTACACTGATTTTCATACCTGGCAATAAGTTAGACACCAATAATTATCGTGGAATTTGTGTATCCAGTTCCATGGAAAAATTCTTTTGTTCAATCCTTAACGATAGACTGATAAACTTTTCAAAAGCAAAAGAACTCTTGCATCCTTCACAAACTGGTTTCTTACCAGGCAATAGAACTGCCGACCACATTTTAACCTTGAAAACTCTACACGATAAATACACTACTCAAAATAATGAGAAAATTAATACATGTTTTGTTGATTTTAAAAAGGCCTTTGACTCCGTCTGGCATGAAGGCCTTTACTTAAAGCTATTAGAAAATGGAATTGGAGGACGCTTCTATGATCTGATAAAGGATTTGTACTCAAATACAAATTGTGCTGTCAAAATATCAGGACATAGAACAGGGCCTTTTTTAACATACAAGCTGGGGGGGGGCATTTGCCCCCCAGTCCCCCCTTGTGCCCCCCACAAAATCACATTTTGCCCCCCCCCCCAGGAAAAGTCCCTTTTTCCTAAAATTATACAAACAATCCAGCGAAGATTAACAAATAGATAAACGGAAAGTAAGTTTTAGGCTTTATCCTTTGTTCTTGTTTAACAAAATTGATTTAAATTGTTACTTTTTTTACCACTAAGCCATGATAAATTATTGTTAATATTTTTTTTTTTTTGGATGCTCAGAATGCAAAAAATAGCATTTCACGGTTTCAAATTTCAAAAATTTTCTTGGGATTATCCCTCTAATAAGTAATGATAAATTACAGTTAATATTCTTTTTTACTTTTTGTGCATTTTCCCATCTTTTATTTCAAATACAAGTATACTTAGCATAAATTTTAGAGCAAATTTGGATGCTCAGAATGCAGGAAATGGCATTTCCGTGGTTCAAATTTCAAAAATTTTCTGGGGGAGTACACCCCCACACACCTGACCATTGCTATCCTCCTCTAATAAGTAATGATAAATGATGGTTAATTTTTTTTTACTTTTTGTGCGTTTCTTCCTTTATTTATTTCAAATACAAGTATAGTTAGGATAAATTTTGGAGCAAATTTGGATGCTCAGAATGCAGGAAATGACATTTACGGGAGTCAAATTTCAAAAATTTTCTGGGGGAGTACAACCCCAGACCCCCTCCCCCATCCATGCGTGGTATATTTTCCACACATGTGGCTTTCAGCCATGCTATATCCCCCTCTAATATATTATCTCACAGAAAGGTCCCTTTTCAAAAAATGCCCCCCCCCCCTCCACGGGAAGATCCTTAAAAAAGGCCCTGACAAAGAACGCCCTTCTTTTCTTACAATAGAGGAGTACACCAAGGCTATGTTTAAGCCCCCTCCTTTTCAACCTATTTATTAATAAACTTCCCAAATTGCTCGAAAAAGCAAACTCGGACCCATTTCTATTACCAAACGGAACGAGACTAAGTTGTCTTCTATATGCTGATGATCTTGTCATATTATCAAGATCGGAATCTGGTGTCCAAAAATGTCTGATTCTCTCAATGAATGGAGCAAAAAATGGTTAATGAATATAAACTTGAAAAAAACTAAGGTTATGATCCTACAAAAACATAATTCTAAACTACAAAGACTTAACTTCTTCTTCTTGGGAGATAAGCGCATTGATATTATTCACTCCAAACACTAAATTTGCGGTTGCGAAAAGGTTTTACGAGCACACATAATAGTGCTCGCAAGCATTAAGGTCCACACACACGGGAAGCGATTCGACAACGCGACGCGATTTTTCGATTTTCACTGACCGTTAATTTTGATTCTAATTTAAATTTTCCAAATATTTAGAAGCGCTATAACCTTTGGAGTTATTTGGTATAGATATGTCATTCAAAATTTGCTCTCATTTAGTTGCGATAAGAGGAACTCATTACTACTATAATCAAGGTCACTTGACCGACAACTCTCATTCATTCTCATCGTTGTTTCTCCCGATTTTAGTTCATGTTGTGAAAACTTTCGATTATTGAGTCGGCTAAGATATAAATGTAGAGCTGCGATATACTCCGTAGCACAGGGAACTTAAATACTCGATATTACAGGGAAGCATTACATACGTAGAAAATAAATATATTAGTCAGAGCCCACAAATAAGCGTCCGTCTGCCACCGAGCAATAACGGGTTTATCCCATGAGAAAACTTGTGTAAAAGTTAACGTATGCGACCAAAATATTGATAAACAAGCAACTACAAACGGTTTCGTTGTGGGTGTTGTTGATGGAAATTTACCGAGTGGAAATATTTATACATTTTGTTGCACCTAACGGCTAACCAGGAACTGCGAAAAATTGCAACCTTAGGTTCCTGACAGGAATCGAACCTTCAGCCCTGCAATTACGGTACAACGCTTGCATGTATACATGAACTTGCTTGACAACTAGTTTCTGTAGCGCAGTTGGTTATAGCGCTGAATGCACATGAATAACAAACTGCAGCTTTAATTCCTGCCAAGGACCAAAAGTTGGAATTTTCTCAGCTGTTCCTCAACTGAAATATATAAAAATTTCCACTCGATAATTGACAAACAACAACACCATTGAGCTATTATTAGCCATTCCGAAGTTGATGAGAGGACTGGGGGCGAGTGTTAAAAAGTGCCCAAATTAAGAAACGCGGATACGAAGACGTACATTGATCGTTGTATCCATTACTGTAATAAGACCGATAGTTGAGTATGCTTGCCAATGTGGCATTTTCACATTCAACATTTTCTATTTGAAGACATCGAACGAATCCAGAAAGGCGCACTAAAGATCGTTGTTCTCTTTTGAAGTTTATATGGCGAGACATTAAAGATTACGGGTATCACTACACTGTACGACCGGCCTGAAAGCCTTTGCGACCAATTCTTTTAGACAAAATATGAATAATGATAAGATGAATGACTTGTGTCCAGATCCATTTACATCAAATTATGACTTTAGATTACCACGTAAATTTAATAATTATGTCTCCAAAACGGATCGCTGCAAACAGTCGTTTTTACTCCAAATGATTTTCAAAAAGAATAGTAGGATTATAACCTTAACTAGTATTAGTTTTTAGACATCACAATATAATAGTTTAGTAGTTTGACATCACAATTTATTCTTATTGTAATATAGTTGTAGTATAATATTTTTTAGTCATAACTTCATGTTGCTAAAAACTTCTGTAATTTAACCTTTTGGTTACATAAATAATAATAATAATAATTTGAATTTCGTTAAAAAAAATGACGTTGCATCGTCATGTTCTTAATTAAATTAAAACGTCTATTCTAGCGGTTCGCAGGCAAGCGAGCCTCGCAATCGAATTACTAGATATTCGGTGTGAAAAACGCAATGCAAGTTTCAGCAAAAATTACTTTGTGCAAGATGGACATCGAGAGATATAATATTATTACAATAGATAATAATTTATTTTATTGCAATTACTAGAAAATACATGCATGCAGAAACCCTCGCCTTGCTGACAAAACCATTTTATTTTCGGAACCTGAAGTATTTTAAGTAGTTGTCATGGTAACACGATAATTTTTTAAGAATATTTTTACAAATGAAAAATCCCCCATAAATATCACTTTTAATTACAAAATTATCAATTTCCTAAACATATATATGTTATGTATGTTCTTATACGTAATATAAGCTTGAATTTAAGGTAAAATTCAACCACAAACGCTTCGCAAAACGTTTTAAAATGTTCTTTTACTATAGAACTGTACTGCCTTTATCGATAAACTTTGAGTTCGAAATAAAATGATTCCAAATTCTCCCATGCAAATAACTTTGCTTAGTATAATAAAAAGTGTAATCAATAAAGAAACACTGAAATAATACGCTGTCTTGTTTCATATTTATACACAACGATCGGCTTTTAAAGTAATTACAGTAGGTATGTTATTATACGTAATATAAGCTTCAATTTAAGGTAAAATTCAACAACAAACGCTTCGCAAAACGTTTGAAAATGTTCTTTTAATATAGAACTAAACTGCCTTTATCGATAAACTTTGAGTTCGAAATAAAATGATTCCAAATTCTCCCATGTAAATAACTTTGTTTAGTATAATAAAAAGTGTAATCAATAAAGGAACACTGAAATAATACACTGTCTTGTTTCATATTTTATATACGCAACGATCGGCTTTTAAAGTATAAATTACAGCCGAGATTACAGTATATTAAAAGCAAATAATGCATCAATATTTAAAACAAACTTACCTTCGTTAACGTCGGCACCTTTACTTCCTTCTTTTAGCAATTGCCTTGCCTTTATTTCATCAAAAATCCTTTGCAATTTACAAAATCTTGCAAAAATGAAATATATTTGCAAGAAATCATCAAATCAATTTCGCTGTCGTCAATCGTCATGCAGCCGTTATAATGCCAATTTTAAATTGGACCAATCAGTGTTGGCTATTCATCACAGTCCGCTATATTATGAGATCAGTGAGGATGACCACCCACCGAAACACGCACAGTGACCCACGCCCGCGATATTTGATGAACTTTAGACTTCGCTAATGCTTCCCTTCCCCGGGTGTAAATAGCCGGGGGGAATTAGTACCCTCGCACGGCGCTTCGCGCCGTCGGCTCGGGGATTATTTTAAAAATAATACTAAGCTATTTTTGCTTTCCATGTTTTAGTCAACAGACACAAGAGAAGCAGAAATATGTTGTGTTGAAAATCCTTGCAAAAATCAAGCACTTTGCGTGCCCGAGGTACGATCTGGCAAGCGGAGTTTTTCTTGTAAGTGTCGACCAGGATTCACTGGAAAGTTATGTGACGTACCAGTCAAAGGTTGTCAAGACTACCTCCGAGCAAACGAGTCAGCAACATCTGGTGTCTACAAAATTGTGCTGGACGATCCAACAATGACAAAAAATGTCTACTGTTATTTTGATCACGTGAATATGGAAGCATGGACCCTTGTCATGTCCTACTCATATTCCTATCAGAATAGTATGAAATACTTTCCGTTTCAGAAGGATAACCCTATCAATGAAGAAAATCCAGCGTTTGACTATTACCGTGCATCTCTAGCTTTGATGAAATATTTAAGAAATCATAGCAGCTTCTGGCGAGCTACATGTAACCATGACACCAAACCACGTGATGACGATTTCACACAGAGTTATTTCACAACTTTGGATATTATGACATACAATGGTACGAGTCTAGTGATTATATGGCTGGGATAACCATGGTTAGAAATTTCATACAATGTGGAGTTAAAGCATGCACATTGGGTACTTAGAAATTAATCCAAAAAGGCGTCTTTAGTATAAGATTTAAGAGTAAAATACACAAAATTAAGACTGAATTTCAGCAATTTACGATTGCAAATTCCAGCATGCGAACAGCTGAAACATTGCCAAATCACACAATATATTATTTGTTAAATTACGGAACAATTCAAACAGGCTGAATGGGTTCCCTAGCTCCTCGTGAACATACCTGTTATTCACTGTATAAAGACCACTAATTCACCATATTTTGTATGCTGGCGCTGAAATTATGGCCTACGAGCCTAGTGAATATAAGGCCGGGATAACTATAAGCCATAATGTCTGCGAAATAATATAAAAAAGTTTGTTGCATGCACATTGCGTCCTTATACATTGATGCCAAATAGTATAATTAATCCTTGGTGTTCACCAATTCTAAAGAAGGGATATTCAAACTAAATCTATACATTAAGAGAAATAATGGTAGGCCTACTGACCAAGTTTTTAGGGTAGTTTCAGACGAAACGAGGATGGCGTTCGTCGGAGTACGTGATGATATCAAGAAGTTGCTTCATGGATACCAAAATACATTTCCCATGAATGCTGCGTTTTATTTATTTTTTCTATCCACCGATTGAAAACACTGCAATAAATTTTGTTGCCGAAGTGCATGTACGTGAACTCAAAGTATTTCTGGTTTTCAAGGTTCCATATTTATCTCATATATCTCACCATTTTTCTTTTGAACAGAACATAAGTGTGGCGCTTTTGATCTCATAAGAATCTATGGCACAACCTACAGTCAAATGAACACTTTTATAATCCAAGATCCCTACAGAATGTTCAGCATGTCCACAACCCATGGTCAATCAGTATGTGCTTCTGCCTTGATATTACCGTATGTAGATGACGGGCTCTTTGGTTGGTTTGGGCGATCTGTCCCTCACCATGGTTGCGCTGCTTTGCCAGAGTCAACCACACAGTACTGGTTTGGGACAAAATTGTAAATTCCTGAATTTCGCTGCGACTACTTAATTGCCAAATAATATAATCTGATAATCTATGTAAGCAACAGACGGCCGACCAAGCTTGCAAAAAATGAAATTCGATGGTAATTCTTTGTTAGATGCAAGCAACATTGCTAAACACATTCCAATATGCATACTTATAATGGTTTGGGGTGTTACCAGGTTTAATTCGCAATTTAATTAAGTGCTAAAATGTAAGCATTTTTTACCACAGTAGGCCTATAAACCCACTTTGTTACCTCTCTCCTCCGCAGAGCCTCCTTAAGTATTTCAAATAACTTAGATGAAGTTTCTCGAATAAACGTGAGCGTGCGCGGTGTGATGGGAAGATTGAAATGAAGTTGGGGAGGCTCTGCCAGATAATGCGACGAAGTATGGTTTTTGAACCAAACTAGTTGTTTGACCTTTTTATATTATTAAACTTGAAACCGACGGAAATGTGAAAGAAATTGAAATGAATCTTCATAATCTGAGTATCTAAGTTCAATAGAGTCATTTTTATAAAGAAATGTTGCAATTAAGAGGATATTTATAATCAGATAGCTCGTATCCATTGATATTCGTTTGCAATTTCTCAATATTTTTTGATGCAAGTGGACAGAAGAAGATATTGATCTTGAATTCACCCCATGCAGGATACTCAAGTACGCTTCTATATTCGGTGCACGATATAACCAACAAACTCTTCTATGTCGTTTTGTGAACTGTCTCTGCCAAGATTTTGAATTAAATATGGAGTGCTGAAAAACTTTCCAACATTTTCGCTTTCCAAACCGCTTTACAATTGTTTTTTACAATTTTTTTTTTAGAAACTTTTTTTACAAATTTTTTATAAACGTTTCGCTTTACAATTTTTTAGTTAAAAATGAGGTTGTATCCTGAACCAGTTTTAAAGCCTAAATTATCTAAAAAGCTAACGTAACTCGTAGGTATAAAGAAACTAAACTAGAAATAACTCGTAAAAATTAATATTAAGTATTAAATTAGTTAAAAAGAAAATAACTATGACTAATACAAGTACAACAGCGCGAAGCAAATAGCAATGCTCATAAGAGTATCAAAAACGAGCAGCACGTGTCAAAGAGCAGCATGTGTTAATTATCACTAACTCAGGGTATGACATAAGATCAACAGAGATCTTAAATAGATTGAATTGGGAGCCCATTGCAAATATCTTCGAACAACGTGAACAAACAATGACATTTAAGGCAATTAACAAAATGACACCAAAATATTTAACAGAAATGTTTACTATGTCCCAGAACGACAATTATTCATTGAGAAGTAACGAACGAAAACTTCACTTATCAAAACCAAACACTAACTTCCTTAAGAAAAGTTTTTCCTACCGCGCAGCAGTGTCATGGAATAAACTTCCAAACGAAAGTCTCGAGGAACATGAGCATCTTTCATTGAATCAGTTCAAAAGGCTTATTAAAAATTGCTAAGAGAGCGAAATTTTCCCGAAATTTTATCGAATGTTTATTTGCATTGTAAGGTCGTTATGCATGTTATACTTCAATTTGAATTAATGTTAGTGTGTTATACTTTAGGTTTAGATTTAATTTTATATCTTTTTAATAGTTTTAGACCACGGCCCTTTGAAAAACAGGCAACTGAAAGGCTACCGTGGATAAATCTTTAATCTTTAATCTTTAATAAAATTATTTAAACACGGTAGCCTGTTCAGCAGATAATCAATTTACAGCGCTGGTTTTCAAAGGGCCGTGTGTTTACAACAATTATATAAAAAGGACAAAAAGAATATAACTATTTACAATGAATTGATACGGATGAATTAAGTAATTGCCGTTTAAACGACAAAATTGAAAGATTGTTATAATTTTCAATAGTTTCACTTGGAAGTTCGTTCCAGGACTTAGCAGCTCTATACGAGAAACTTCGTTTGAGAAAATTTGTCTTAGGTTTGGGTAGGTTCAATTTAATTTGATTGCTTCTTAGATTGTAATTGTCATTTTGACTTACTGAAAACAATTTTTCAAGGTATCGAGGTAATCGACCAGTTAGTACTTTAAATGTCATTATTAACTGTCGTTGTTTTAGAAGTTCTTCTATTGGAAGCCAATTAAGACTATCTAGCGTTTGCATGGAACGAACCTCGTATGTGTCCCCTGTTATCACACGCGCTGCTCTCTTCTGCAGTATAAACAATTTATCAATTATCGAACAACATCCATCATTCCAGATTGTTGAGCTTTAAACAATGTAGAACGACTAACGTAAGTATAACGAACTACAGTAGAAATTACTCGTAAATATAATTAGATTAAACTAGATATAACTACATTAATAATATACATAAAGATATTACTCGACTGTGATTGGTTGATTTCAGTGCAGTTAATCCCAAACAGCAGTCCAATTTTCTGTAATCACAGTGCAATTTTCTGTAATCACAGTGCAATTTTCTGTAATCACAGTGCAATTTTCTGTAATCACAGTGCAAAAATCTGTAACAAACTGATCTGATTGGTAATTGAAAAACATTGTGATGATTAAATCAACCAATCAGTTTAAAGCAATTTAGTTTAAAGAAGTAGCGGTCACAGATTGCTTCAAAACAAAACAAACATGGCGCCGCGCTTTAGTGAAGTAAAAGTTGCTTTCGCGTGAAAAATATGGCTTTTATCTTTATTTTTAAATGGAAAAGCATTGACCTTAAACAAGACTAACAAAAATTACATAGTTGAGTGGAATTTTCAAGCTGTTAGCGTTGCATAATGTGATATAACAAAGCCAGGAAACGTTTGCCGGTGGAATGTTCGCTATAAACGCGTAAGTTAAAACTAGAATTGTCTCGAACATTTTTATGTAAATTATTAATAAGTAATAGCATGGTTTCTCGTGAAATTTGGATAAACATGCACTCGTGAGTTTTTCAAAGACTTCAAATAGCACTCGTCCTTCGGACTCGTGCTATTTCGAGGTCTTTGAAAAACTCACTCGTGCATGTTATGCACCTATCAATGTTAACCCCGAGGGAGGGGGGGGGGGTCGGGCAAGGGGTGGGGATTTGACATTTTTACAAAAAAAAATGTCAAATGCACTCCCTCGGGAGAAAATTCCAGGGCAAAATTCCCCCCCCCCGGGATGAAATTGTATTACTGAAGTATTTGGTTTCTGGTGCACTCTATATGTCAGGTGATAGGGAAATTACACAAATACATTTGGCGGTATAATTTAAAAGTATAACAAACATAAAGAACGTTTCAAAATAACTTAAAATACTCATTAATAATTTATATACCTTGCGCCACACCATGGTGTAGTGGACTGGAACACAGACTAATAAAACACAGAATTCTTATATAATTATATTGTCAGTAGGCCTATTCTAATATAATTGTTCGCCCTAATTAGTATTCTTTTGTACTCGTACTTTAAGTTGTGCGCCTCGCGTTTTATATCTGATAAAACACACTCCTACTCGTGTTTTAAATAGTACATGACGTGAACTTTTAATATACAAGTATAAATCGATATTAATATAATTATAAAATGGCTTTTAAGTGTTTATTTCTTGTCCAGAAATTTCCATATTTCTTGTAAAAACAACGCGCGAGACAGCGAGCGATAAACTAGTGCCCAGTCTTCAGTTTGTTCCTGACTCTTCCACAGTCCCTCGTTACCTTTTAGTGCGGGAGGATATGCCCGTTCGCGGGTTAGGCGTTGACAGCTACAACGCGGGCGACTGGGGACGAGTCAGAGTTTGTTCTAAAATTGGCTCAGGTTTCTTCAGTATATCGTCTGAGATCAGTGTTAATCTGTCAAAAATCCCCACCCTCGGGCCACTTAGAAAAAAAGTGTCAGTCCAAATCCCGACCCATGGGACCACCTGATTGATCAAATCCCCACCCTTTGCCCGACCCCCCCCCCCTCGGGGTTAACATTG